CAATGTAACTTCTAAAAATTATAATTAGAATCAAAATGAATTCCCTTCCAAACTGCTTTCGCATTAAATAGGTCCTGCATTAACTTAACTTAACAGGAAAGAGAGGTAGAGAGAGAGAGAGAGAGAGAGAGACAGACAGACAGACAGACAGACAGAACAGGGGAAATAATAACATAACTAGCAGGAGAGAGAGAGAGAGGGAGAGAGAGAGAAGGGAAAAAATAGAAATTTAGTAGAAGTTGGTAAAACGCCCAAAGTGGCATCTTGTTGTTTGTTAAATAAATAACAGGAGTCCCGTAGCTCAGTGATTAGAGCACTCACCCTGTAAGCGAGAGACCTGTGTTCGATTCCCGGCAGGGTGAAACCTTGGGCAAGTTTCCTTACTCCACACGCCTGATAATAATCCCTCAAGAAAAAAATAATAAAATTGGTTGCTTCAATCCACGGCTGTTTGTGGGACGCTGCTGTATGCAATTGGCTGCTGCATTTTGCCCACAAATATACAGTCAATTCACTTGACAGTATATTCCGTGAAGCGCTTTGAGTCGTCTCGAAGATGTGATGAGGCGCTGTATCAAATGCAACGATTATTATTAAAAATGTTTTGCATTTTCAGTCTCCCTCCATTCTCCATTCTCTCTTTCTCTCCAACTACCAGCAACACACACACAGCAATAGTTTTTGTTTTTGGTTAGTGATCAGAGTTGAAAAATATTTAAACTCAAAAGTCTAATAATAATAATTATGGACACACAACACAAACACAAAAGTTGAATGAATGCACAGTTGTCTGATACAAAATAAATGGCGACAGTTTGGGAAAAACTGATTTTGAATCTCCCAGTGAATCGTTGGAGTCTAAAAATGAGGCATTTTTTCTTTTTTTTTCTATCGACTTTTAACCTTTGAAAAACTATTTTGTGTGTGTGTGTATATTCTGTCTCTCTCTCTCTCTCTCTCTTTATCATCTTTGTGTGTGTTTGTGGAGGGCTTCAGAATCTCTTTCTCTCTCTCGGTATTAAATAGGATTTCACTTGCATTTCAAGCAAAACAATTTTTTATTTTATTTAAAAACATATTTATCCAAAAAATAATATATCCAAGTAATTTTTTTCTAGTAAGCTATATAAAGTAAATTTTCGATTTCAGAGCATTACTAGGGGAAAAGAGAGACATTGTTAATATAAAAATATCATCATTTCTTTAAGACTTATTAAACATTGTAATGGTAGCACAATTTTTTGGTGATCCTGTATATATTTTTATATGTGTGTGTGAATATATTTATATTTGTTATTTATATGTATTCATACAATGTATATAATAAAGGTATAACAATAATAATTTCTAAAACAAAGTATCACAGTTACTATTGAAAAAAAATCTTCTTTTTCTATATATATATATATTTAAAAAAAAGCAAATTGTTGAAAGACCATAGAAAGTCAAGGCTCTTGACTTTTAATATAAGACATATACTAAAAGTTCTATTGACGTTAATAATAATAATAATAATCCCTGCATTTAACATAGGCGTTATTATCCCTGGAAAACAATCCACCAATTGACTGCCAACCTTCCCAGGTCACCTTCATAAGAATTTTACTATAGATCATTTGTTTGTCAAAAACTGGAATAGAATCAGCAAAGCAGATATACCGACTCCAGGACATACAGTAACATTGTGTTAAAAGTTCAGATATGCAATAAACATGAGAAAAAAATAACTTGGTGTTTACTGATAGAAACATGGGCACGCACACACCCCCCCACACACACACCCATCCACCCAACCACACCCCCCCCCCACCCACACACACCCACGCACCCATCCACCCACACCCACACACCCATCCCCCCCACACACACACACAGGAATTCATTTAGCATCATCAATAAAAGAAAGTGCTTTAAAAGATTTGTCTTGTAAACTGACTAAACATTTCACACTCTAGCCAAGTGCAAAACACAAAACATACTGTAAAGTGTAGTGACTGCGTGTTTTGTGGGTGAAACCCGGCAGCCAATTGCGCACAGCAGCGTCCCACAAACAGCCGTGGATTGAGTGACCAAATTATTATTATTTTGAAGGAATTATTACCCCAGAAAAGTGATCCGCCAATTTACTACCAAGCGGGTTCCTACTTCCTGCTCGGTAAACAGAGGCGTGTGTGTGGAATAAGGAAACTTGCCTAAGGTTTCACCCGGCGCAGGTATCGAACCCGGGTCCTCTACGAAATGTCTCAAAGTGCTTCACAAAATATACTGTGAAGTGAATTGACTGTAATATTTTGTGGGCGAAACGCGGCAGCCAATTGCGCCATATTAATGTAAACAGCTGTTGAAGTAAATTTAAAAAACTGTTTCAAAATGGCGGAGAGATTTTTCTACAAATGGCTGTTGATTATACCATTAACCTTTGGAAATAGGCGTTTCATTACCCCAGTCCTGAAGTGTGACCTGATACGATGCTCCTGCTAAGTTGATCTCCATTTTCTTGGCTAGACATCGCATCTGGCTTCAGCCAAGGTCAGTGTTTGACAACATCAAGACAACATTTGAACCCGAGTCTTGCCAGGTCATGGCATCTCCCTTCATTTCATGTGACAATAGCAGTGATATCCACAGTGAATTTGTGCACATTATTGATCTCAAGAGAAAATGACGACTTGGTTTTTATAACAACTGTAAACATCAACAACAACTTGCCTTTACACAGCGCCTCACACGCAGGGTAGAGTCCCAGAGCGCTTGACAGTGGAGGAGCACAGCATCGAGCCGGGGTGGGGGGGAGGAGGGTGAACATAGGCACAGTCGAAGAGGAAGGTCCGGACATGAAGTTGGGGAAGGAGGGGACAAAGTGGAGGCATTGAGGAAAAGTGTTCCAAAGTGCAATAATAATAATCCTTGCATTTGATACAGCGCCTTATCACATCTTCAAGACGTCTCAAAGCGCCTCATAGAACATACCATAAAGTGTGGTGACTGTGTATTTTGTGGGCAATAATGTGGCCGCCAATTGCACACAGCTCTGCAGATCCACTCGCTTGCGAGGCGAGTGCTGTAACCACTGCACTACAGGACTTCTTCAATTATAAAGAAATAAAAACTACTGATAACCATGTAAATCACTGCCCTAACTCCCTACATTAGCAAGTAGGTGGTCACAGGGTCTGTGTGTCTTAAAACCAGGGACCCTGTGGGTACGTGAGCCAATTACAGATGTCAGTGACAACTTAGTTGCCCAACATTTCACGCGTTGCCGGGAATTGAACCCAGGTCCTCTCGCTCGCGTGGCGAGTGGTCTCACCACTGAGCTACAAGTTAAAGTGAAGTGCAATCTTGTTTATTATAATCATTATTTTGTCGTTGATCTTATTCGTATCGGTTGTGATCGCTCCTTCTTTGCATTTTTTAAGATATATATAGGAGTGAAACAGAATTAAAATGATGATCTCGTTACAGTACCAATTAATGCAAAACACAACCGATATCTTTGCTGTAACTGATATTAATGTCAAAACATCCTCCTATTTGTATTTCATTATTTTTGTATTTTGTGTATTTTTTCATTAAAAAAAGTTTGTCGTCCAAAAGTAGCCCAATATTAGGCATTGCCTACTGTGGGTAACAGAGTGGCCAATTAAGGTGAGTGCATTGGAAACTATATAATAAGATCTTATTATAAGAAAAAAACAGGTTTAAATTAAAAATAATTTAACTTATTATTTCAAACTTGTTTAAATATTGTATTGTGCTTAATTTATTACCAAACCAGCGTTAAAAGAAATCATTTAAATGTGCGTTTATTCCTTTTAAGATTATTTAGAAATAATTATTAAACAACAACAAGATTCCATTTATAGAGCGCCTTTCACGTCAGGAGGACGTCCCGAGGCGCTGGACAGTTGGGTCAGGACCCGAGCATTGGGGGGGAAATGGTCCGGGTGAGGGGAGGGGAGGGAGCGAGGAGGGGGGAAATGGTCAGGGTGAGGGGAGGGAAGGGAGGGAGCGAGGAGGGGGGAATGGTCAGGGTGAGGGTGAGGGTGAGGGCGAGGGTGGGAGTGATGTGGTCGCGGTGTCTGGTGCGGGACAGTACAGGAGCTGCAGAGTTCTGGATGACCTGCAGTGTGGAGGGAGGGCCGGGAAGGCCGGCGAGGAGAGAGTTCCCATAGTCCAGCCTTGAGGTGATAAAGGTGTGGACCAGAGTTTCAGCCGCGTGAGGGGTGAGGTAGTGGCCATGTCCCGGAGGTGATGGAAGGCGGTGCCGGTTGTGGTGCGGATATGAGGGAGAAAGGAAAGCTCAGGGTAGAACAGAACCCCGAGGTTCCTGATGGCTTTGAGAGGTGGAGAGTGCGGAGCTGATGGTGTCAGCGCCTGAGGTGCGGAGGCGCTGACGTGAGCCAATCAGGAGAGCCTCAGTTTGGCACACGTTGAGCTGAAGAAAGTTGTCTCTCGTCCAGGACTCGATGTCGGACAGACAGCTGTCAGGACATCGGGGGTCGTGGTGTTGAGGGTAGAGGAGGAAAGGTAGAGTTGGGTGTCATCCGCATACATGTGGGAGTGACCCCCATATCTGCGGATGATGTCACCACAGGGGGAGCATATAGAGGGTGACGAGGAGGAGACCGAGGACAGAGCCCTGAGGGACACCGCACGAGACAGTGCGGGGGGTGGAGGAGAAGCCATTCGTGGAAACAAAGTGAAGACGGTGGGAGAGGTAAATTACTCTTAATAATAAATAAATACAATTTCAAAAAAGTAAATCACAGTAATAGCCCAAAAAAAACAATTGGGGCGTGAAGGAGCCCAAAGGGGCGTGAAACAAGCCCAATGAGGCGTGAAACAAGCCCAAAGGGGGCGTGAAACCGTCCAATAAGGGGCGTGAAACAAGCCCAAAAAGGGGCGTGAACGCGCCCAAAGGGGGCGTGAAACCCGCCCAAACCCGGCCGCACTGCCGTCCAGACGCAGTTTCCGGAGGGACCACTTCCGGCGGCGGCAAAATGGCGGCGGCGGTGTCGCGGTCTGTGTTGACGTCTCTCCGGTCGGGAGGTCCCGCCGCGACTGTGAGAGGTCAGAGCCCGGGGGGGGGGGGGGGGTATCACTGTAATAATAAACTCGGGCTCAGCGGGGGGGGGGCATCAGGGGGACAACAGGACCCTGAGGGAGGGTCCTGAGGGAGGGTCTGAGGGAGGCCCCTGAGGGAGGGTCCTGAGGGAGGCCCCTGAGGGAGGGTCCTGAGGGAGGGTCTGAGGGAGGCCCCTGAGGGAGGGTCTGAGGGAGGCCCCTGAGGGAGGGTCCTGAGGGAGGGTCTGAGGGAGGCCCCTGAGGGAGGGTCTGAGGGAGGCCCCTGAGGGAGGGTCTGAGGGAGGCCCCTGAGGGAGGGTCCTGAGGGAGGGTCTGAGGGAGGGTCTGAGGGAGGCCCCTGAGGGAGGGTCCTGAGGGAGGGTCTGAGGGAGGCCCCTGAGGGAGGGTCTGAGGGAGGCCCCTGAGGGAGGGTCTGAGGGAGGCCCCTGAGGGAGGGTCTGAGGGAGGGTCCTGAGGGAGGGTCCTGATGTGATTGTGATATAAACACTATGATCTCCCGCAGGTCGGTCACCAGTCCCTGAACCTCAAAATCACAATCAGCTAAACCACCAACTAGTGACTGGCCTCCTGGTTGGGGGGGTGGGCGGGGGGGGTGTGAGAGGGGTGTCCTCGGAGCTGAGTTGGCCTTAAGGTGACCCCCAATGGTCCCCAGGGTGACCTGCCTGGTAATGGAATATCGGATTCAAGCCCCCACCCTGTGCCGGTCTCTAGTCCGGTTCCTGAGCCTGGAGGGGCCGCAGTGTCCCAGGGCACAGTCCGGCCCGACTCATCAGCAGGACCTGGAAGGGCCGACCAGTCACTGGGGACAGGGAATCCTCCCCCTCAGCTCCTGGTAACCCCACAGCCAAAGCCCTAACTAACAGGGAGGGGGGTCCTGGCTGGACAAGCAGTGGGAAAGCTGCCAGACAGTGCGCTCTCTCTCTCTCTCAACAGCAAGCTGTGAGGTTTTAGTTGGTTAGACTCCAGCAGTTCCCCCAATTCTGGGCTCCCCCCAAGCCTTGGCTCTTGCCAACCTGCGCCTAATACTTTGCTGAATCAGGTAAGCAGGATGCATCCCTCCAGGGAGAGAGAGAGATTCCATTCCAACAATCTACCGATTGGGATTTCCATGTGTAGGTGGGAGGCCTGGAACCCTCAGCTTGGTTTGGAGACTCTTAAGCAACGGTGATGGGTTTCCGCAAGTGTTCAGACACCCGACTGACCCAAGAAAATGTTTACATTGGGTTATGTTGTTACGGTACTTTCTGAAGCAGGTTCAATAGCCAGGAGCTCAATATCAAATTTTATTATTAAATAGTTATTACCAGGGCAGCAGATGAGATTGAGAAAGTCTGTGCTTCCTTGGGGAGCAGGGCAAATTATATTAGCATTGTGGATTTAATTTTATTACTATGACCAATTCTTTCCACATGTAAAGTTATTGTAGGAGTCAGACGATCGCTTGGGTTTGTGAAACTTGCCTTTGGAAGAAATACAGCTTCTGCATGTCCTGGAATATTTACTAACTTTTAATTTTAATTCGCTGCCACACCTTGCACATACACAATATACAGTCAATTCACTTTACAGTATATTCTGTGAAGTGCTTTGAGACGTCTCGACGACGTCACTACATCAAATGCAAGGATTATAATTAATAATAACTTTTGGTAAATTTATGTCCATTCTGAGGAAAAGAGAACCAATATGACATTTCTGGGAGTCAAAACCTTAACCATCTCCTGGCTGTCCCAAGTGAAGGGTACTATATAATTGCAAATTGTTGTTGTAAAAAATACTCCAAATGATTAACTGAATCCCGAGTAAGATAACCAGCCTGCGAACCCTTGTGGTAGGAGCTGAGACTAATTGCAGTTGTACCCTGTGCAGGTGGAGTTACAGGTTCTGTTTGTCACAAGTCGACATATACGTACTCTGCTCTTCCCAATGATTACAACTGGTGAGTGCTTGTATTTTTTGTTTGCCTATAAGCCAATATTTTAATAGCACATTTACTCAGTGCTTTTCATGTCGGGAGGTCGTCCCAAGGCGCTGGACAGTCAGGGATTTGGACCTGGGCTAGGGGTTGGGATCAAGAGGGGTGGAAGGCAGGGAGGGGGGGGGTGGAGGGTGGCTGAAGGCGCATTTGAAGAGGAGGGTCTTGAGTCGTGCCTTGAAGGAGGCGAGGGAGGGAGCGATGTGAAGGGACTGTGGGATGGAGTTCCAAAGGGTGGGGGGCAGAGAGGCTGAAGACCTGACCGTTAATTATTAACAATAATATAAATGTTCTTCTTTTGGCAGTAAAGTGGACCTTGCTCTGACATCAGATAGAAAGACGATAGTTTGTTACCACCCATCAGTGGACGTTCTATATGAACACACCAAGGTAGACAAGATTATCGTGTTACTGTGTGTTTTTCTTCTATGGTGTAATAATAATAATCCTTGCATTTGATATAACGCCTTATGTCTTCGAGACGCCTCACACAATATAATGTAAAGTGCATTGACTGTATTTTGTGGGGGAAACATGGCAGCCAATTGCACACAGCAGTGTCCCATAGATATGTGTTGTGTTTTATAGCCTATTCCACGTCTGTCCCCTGTGGAGAACAAAGAGGAAACCCATGAGCAGGTACTCAAGGCCAGATTAGAGACAGAAATGCTACGCAATAAACCAGCTCCGACAATTGAAGAACTCAGCAAAATGTTCTATACAACCAAGCATCGCTGGTTTCCAATTGGACAGTAAGTGTGTTTGTTATCGCTTGGTAAATAATGACCACAACAGACAAGTCACTTGGGGCAGGGAATTCTCCCGCTCAGCTCCTGTTAACGCTGCAGCCAAATCCCTGATGGGCAGGATGATCCTAGCTGGACAAGTAGCGGGAAAGCTGGCCAGACAGCAATATCAATGGCCAAGCTGTGTGGGTTTAGCTGGTTAGACTCCAGCAGTTACCCCAACGCACACTCTGGCCTCCCCCCAAGCCTTGGCTCTTACCAACCTGCGCCTAATACTCTCCAGAATTAGGTAAACAGGATGTGTCCCTCCAGGGGGAGAGAGAGAGAGCTCATTCCATTCCAATAATCTCTCTTGGATTTCCATGTGTAGGTGCATGTATGGAAATCTCAAGACAATAATCCTTGCATTTGATTCAGCGCCTCATCACATCTTCTAGCTGTCTTAAAGCGCTTCACAAAATATACTGTAAAGTGAATCGACTGTATTTTGTGGGTGAAACCACGACTTTGGTCACCCTCCCTGCCCTCCACCCCTCTTGATTCCAACCCCCAGCTTGGGTCCAAATCCCTGACTGTCTAACACCTTGGGGCATCTTCCCTACGTGAAAGGTGCTGTGTAAATGACATTTGTTGTTGATTAAGATTTCTACTAAAGTTTCACTAGTAACAGCACAGTTTGGTACTCCTGTATGTACTCATTTCTATTGTGAATGTTCGCAGATCTATGAGGACAGAATGAAAGTTTTATCTATTTTGTTTTGAAGGTATCGCAGACGAAGGATAAAGGCTAATCCTCCAAAAGATCGATAACACAGCTTCATTTCGGGCTGTGAACTATTGTATTAAAAAAAGGATTTAATAATAACTTGTGTTCCATTGAACTTCATATCCATTGATGTACGTTCAATTCACTTTACATCATATTCTGTGAAGCGCTTTGAGACTTCTAGAAGACGTGAAAAGTGCTCTATCAAATTTAAGGATTATTATTATTACATTACCTTTGGAAAGAAATTTTCCCACATGAAATGTTTTCAAAGCCATGGGAAAGATCAATCCAGACCGACTAGTGAATGAGTGATTGTCTTCAGGACAGGATGTAATTCTGACCTAATAAAATATTACCTCAGATTTGTATTGAGAAACCATTTGAGCTTTTATTCAGCCACTTTTTCTGGAAGTGGGTTACAACAACAACAACTTGCACTTACATAGCGCCCCTCCCGCAGAGTAGCATCCCAGAGCGCTTACTGTTCCAGAGACATTAACTCCTTCATTACTCAAGTGATGTTCTTGATGTGTGACTCAAGCCGGTGAGTGTTGGCAGGCTACTCAAACAAAAAGAGGTTGTTTATCACAGTGGAATAGTTGGATCTTATTGTTGTGCTTCTAAGGAGAGCTAAATGAGGTAAATTCCTGCTGTGTCTCAGTTGGGTCTTGTCAAAGAATCTTACAGCACAGAAGGAGGCCATTCGGCCCATTGTGCCTGTGCCGGCTCTTTAAAAGAGCCACCAATAGTCCCACTCTTCTGCTCTTCGATAGCCCAGCACATTATTCCTTTTCAAATATCTATCCAATTCCTGTTTGAAAGTCAATGGGTACAAATTTGAAACTTATTATATACTTCAGTATTTCACTGATCGTATCTTTTAATGCTAACAGACATAACCATGTTTCATTGATGAACGTAATACAAACCAGATCTGGAAAATGTTATTCCTACAAATCTTGTGCCAAGTTGTGTTCCTCTGAGGGAGTTAGTATTGCTGGTAGATACAATTCCAAAGGTGTTGGCAGTTCTCTGGCAAATCTTGTGGAAGCTTGGTGGGTGGGTGAGTGGGTGGCAGGATTTTCCCTGTTGAGAACGTGTATCTAAACCAAGTCCTCTTTATATTTACACAGATCCACTTTGCAGGAAGTCACTGCATAACAATAATTATTATAATCCTTACATTTGATACAGTACCTTTCATGTCGGGGATGTCTCAAAGCGTTGCAAGGAATGCACTGTAAAGTGCCTGTTCGACATCAAGTCCTGGACGAGAGACAACTTTCTCCAACTCAATGTCAGCAAGACCGAGGCCCTCGTTATTGGCTCACACCAGCACCTCCGCACCTCAGGCACTGGCAGCATCAGCCTCTCTACAGCTACACACTCAACCTCACTGAGCCAGTCAGGAACCTTGGGGTCTTGTTTGACCCTGAACTGTCCTTTCTCCCCCACATCCGCACCATGGCCGGCACTGCCTACCACCACCTCCGCAACATTGCCAGACTCCGTCACTGCCTCACCCCTCAGGCTGCCGAGACCCTCACCCGTGCATTCGTCACATCAAGACTTTATTACGGGAACTCCTCATCGGCCTTCCCAACTCTTCCCTTCACAAGCTGCAGATCATCCCAAACTCTGCAGCTCATGTACTCTCACGCACCAGGCTCCGTGACCCCATAACTCCCACCTTCGCCCGACTCCACTGGCTCCCCATCCCCCAGAGGATCGAGCTCAAGATTCTCATCCTCACCTTTAAGGCCATCTATGGCGTTGCCCCCTCCTATCTCTCTGACCCCCTGACTCCTTTGGAGTCCTGTAGTTCAGTGGTTAGAGCACTCACTTTGCAAGTGAGAGACCTGAGTTCAATTCCAGGCAGAGGGCGAAACCTTGGGCAAGTTTCCTTACTCCACACAGAGCCTAATAATAATCCCTCCAAAACAAAACAATAATACATTGGTCATTCTCAATCTACGACTGTTTGTGGGACATTGCTGTGCGCAATTGGCTGCCGCGTTCGCCCACAAATATACAGTCAATTCACTTTACAGTGTGTTCTGTGAAGCGCTTTGGGACGTCCTCCTGACGAAAAGCGCTATATCAAATGCAAGGATTATTATTATTATTATTACCAACCTGCCCGCTCTCTCCATTCAGCGGGCTCTGGCCTGCTCCATGTCTCCCGCCCGACCCGCCCTACCATCGGTGGCCGGGCTTTCAGCCTCTCTGCCCCCACACTCTGGAACTCCATCCCACAGTCCCTTCGCCTCGCTCCCTCCCTCGCCTCCTTCAAGGCCGGTCTCAAGCCCCTTCTCTTCAGTCGTGACTTTGGTCACCCTCCCACCTCTCTGCCTTCCCTCACCCCTCCCCCATGCTCATCCTCCCGACGTGAAAGGCATTCTATAAATGTCATTTTGTTGTTGTTGTGACTGCATTTTGTAGGCGAACACAGCAGCCAATGTGCACGTAGCAATGCCCCACAAACAGCCACAAAGTGACTAACCAATTTTATTTGTGGCCATTGACTAACATCGATACTATTGTGGGCGGGGGTGGGAATGAAGGGCCAGAGAGTTGGAAAGATAATCTCTTGCTTTACATACATATAACTTTGTGTAATGGTTGGTTTGTTGCCAGGCATCCAATCTGCGAGGCTGCAGTCTGTTATGTGTACGATGTGATAAATCCCAGCAGCTTTCAATAAATCCTTTGGCACAAATATTGCCGGTAATTTAGACGTCCTAACCTGACGTGTGTTGCTATGTTCTTTAACGTTGATCCCCAATAGCACCAGCTGTAAATTACAGATCAGTATCAATTTCAAGCTAAAATAAAACACGCCAGAATGAATTATAAGGTATGAATTATCTCCCTTCAGTGATTTTATGCAGAGTGTAAACTATCTTTTTACACTATTAAAATTGTTTGATTCAGTTTCTCAATTATCGCATGCCATGGTAACACAATCACGGATGTCAAACCATTAAAATAATATCTCAGTCATGCTGTATAATGATAATAATAATCCTTGCAATTTGATATAGCGCCCGACTTCACTGGCTTCCCATCACTCAGAGGATACAGTTCAAGATTCTGGTCCTCACCTTCAAAGCCCTCCATGGTCTTGCTCCCCCATACCTCTCAGCAGGCTCCGGCCTGCTTCAGGTCCCACGCCTCGCCCGCCCCACCATTGGCTGCCCCCACCCTCTGGAACTCCATTCCGCAGTCCCTCTGCCTCACCCCCTCCCTTGCCTCCTTCACGACCCATCTCAAAACCCACCTCTTAGACCGTGCTTTCGATTACTCTGCTTACTCAAATTCAAGATCCTCACCCTCACCTACAATGCCATTCACGGCCTTGCTCCTTCCTACCTCTCCGACCTACTATCCCCCTCCCTACCTGCCCGTACCCTCTGTCCCTCTGGCTCCGGTCTGCTCCACATCCCCCGCCCCAACCGCCCGACCATCGGTGGCCTTCAGCCTCTCAGCCCCGAGGCTCTGGAACTCCATCCCCAGTGCCTTCGCCGCTTCCTCCCTTTCCTCCTTCAAGGCCGGTCTCAAGGCCTTTCTCTTTGACCTTCAGCCTTCAGCTCCGCTCTCGATTCTCTAACCCCTCCTCGCTCCCTCCCTTCCCTCCCCTCACCATTCTCCCTCCAATGCTCGGGTCCTGACCCAACTGTACAGCGCCTTGGGACGTCCTCCCGACGTGAAAGGCGCTCAATAAATGGAATCTTGTTGTTGTTGTTCCCCCACTGCCCTCCACCCTCCCCGATCCTGTCCCCCAGCTCGCGTGCGAAACTCTGACTGTCCAGCGCCTTGGGACATACTCCCGATGTGAAAGGCGCTTTACAGATGTAATTTTGTTGTGTTATCGGGTCACAGAATATACTGTCATTTTGTGGACCAATTGCCTACAGCAGTGTCCCACAAATAGTCCTGGATTGAGTAACCAAATTGTTATTATTATTTTATTATTATAACCAAATTGTTTTAAATTTACTCCCAGGTCAACTACAATACCACACCTCTCAAAACAGCATATAAACTGAGCAGCAACCAGAATTTTGAATAGGTTGTTTCTCCTTATTTTTCCTTTATGCTATTAAAATCCATATTTTCTCAGACATATTCTATGTTGGTAAAGAATAAATAACTTTTTCCATCCAAGCATTCTAACCTTGCCAAGTTTCTCACCTGTGGTCTTTGCAGGAGATGGTTTCTGCTGCTTTGGCCTCCCACCCCTGCCCTTCCCCAGCAATTAGCCAGAAATAAAGTGGTGAATTGATCATTAAAAGCAAAAGCACATATGGTTTCCACAGCACCAGGATCCTGGTGACCCGACTCCCATTGTCTGAGCTGAGGCACAATATAAATGTGCTTTTAATCCTCCAAGTAAAAGTTCCACAACATTTTGACCTAATGTTGCCCAAATATTTCCATAACTTCAGGATATCTATTCTATATATACCTATATAAATATATATATTTATTTATATCACTGTACCTATCCTTGATCTTCTTAGCTAAATAATAATCAAACTGCAACTCTATATTCAACAATAACAACAAATTGCATTTATTTAATGCTTTACACGTCAGGAGGACGTCCCAAGATGTCGATTATTCATCTATTTAATTCTCAACACAGTTTTTAACAACTTTGAAAAGTTATTAATCAGAGCAGATTTGGCTATTTTATCTGGAAAATTGATTTTATGTGTGTACGTGTGAAATCTACAGTATGACGTGGCAGTCAATACCACGTGCCATGATTTTACCACAAAATACATTTTACAATATATACTGTGAACATATATATATATAAACTAATTTAGATGATTACGAACGACGTGATAAGGCGCTAAATCAAATGCACGGATTATTATTATGAAAAGCGATGAAACAGAATCAAAGACGTTGCTGATATAGGCAGAAATGTGAGTGGGACAGTTAGAATAATGAGTAATAAGGTAATAATACATTAATCACAATCCTTGCAATTGATATAGCGCCTTATCGGGTAATTGAGACGTCTCAAAGCGCTTCGCAGGATATGCTGTAAAGTGTCGTGACTGTGTGTTTTGCGATAAATAAGCAGTTAATAATAATATATTATAATTGGGACAGTTGACAGATATTTCCACTCTTAAACAGCACCAACAGCCACAAGACGCCCACTGGACCTGTCCGGCTGGTCGGTCGGTGCGTGGCGTGTGCTAGTTTCGCGGTGCATAGCGGGAGTTGTAGTTCCTTCCGGGTCCGGGCTGAGCTGGCGTGATACTTCCGGTGGACTACATTACCCAGAGGGGCACTGCGGGCGGAAGGAAGGAAGGAAGGGCGGAAGGGCGCGGGCGTCACAGACGGAAGTGGACCTGGGACGGTGAAAGGAAGGTGAAGAGAAGCGCGTCTGTCAGTCAGTCTGTGAGAGAGAGAGAGAGAGACGCACACAATGGCAGGACTTCCCAAGCGTATCAGCAAGGTACGCACTCGCCTCGCCCCTTAATGTCGTGTGTCCCGGCCCCGGGAAGAGAGTCGGAGGCAAAATAAAGGCAGATGAAGTGGCCGGGGATCCACTTCCGCTCGGGGACGAGACACGGTTGAGGGAAAATGGCGGCGCTGGTGGAGGCCTCCTGCAGCCACAGAGGCTCTGCAGCCGGTGCCCAGCGGCACGGAGAGGCTTCCAGCAGCTCCTCCTCGCTGTTACTGGGGGGGCGGGTACACAGACAGCTGTCTGTGAGAGGGCCCGGGGTTTGTGAAGGTAGAATGCGTTTCACCCACAAAATACACAGTCACTCCACTCTGTAATAATGTTACATCATGATGTGACTTGGGAGATCTCGCAGCATAGCAGAGCGGTTTGGAGGGGCTGAATGGCCTCCTCCTGTTCCTATGTTCGCCATATATTCCTGTGTGTGTGTATATATATATATATATTTATAGTATCATAATAATATTTGCATTTGATGTAGCGCCTTTATCACGTCTTCTCGACGTCTCAAAGCGCTTCACAGAATAGACTGTAAAGTGAATTAACTGTATATTTGTGGGTGAAACGCGGCAGCCAATTGCGCACAGCAGTGTCCCACAAACAGTCTTAGATTGAGAGTAACGTTACTTCATAATATTTAATGTTACTTGATCTATTAGAATGGCAGAACAGGTTCGAGGGGCTGAATGGCCTACTCCTGTTCCTATGTTACACATATACCTATATTTACAGTATATTCTGTGAAGAGCTTTGAGACGTCTCAACGATGTGATGAGGTGCTATATCAAACGCAGTGATTATTATTATGAATCAGCACCATTGAATGAAAAGTTAAAGTCACCATCGGGGGAAAAATAGGGAGAAGTTCCCTCTCTCTGTCTGAAAATGTGTCGTTTTTTCCCTCAATTTAGACAACAACAACAACAACAACAAGATTCCATTTATAGAGCGCCTTTCACGTCAGGAGGACGTCCCAAGGCGCTGCACAGTTGGGTCATGACCCGAGCATTGGGGAAATGGTCAGGGTGAGGGGAGGGAAGGGAGGAGAGAGGAGGGGGGAAATGGTCAGGGTGAGGGGAGGGAAGGGAGGGAGAGAGGAGGGGGAAATGGTCAGGGTGAGGGGAGGAAGGGAGGGAGAGAGGAGGGGAAATGGTCAGGTGAGGGGAGGGAGGGAGGGAGAGAGGAGGGGGGAAATGGTCAGGGTGAGGGGAGGGAAGGGAGGGAGCGAGGAGGAGGAAGAGAGTCGAGAGGGGAGCTGAAGGCACGGTCAAAGAGAATTAAACCCATTAAATCCAGGTTTAAACTGCAATAAGTATAATAATAAAAATAATCCTTGCATATGATATAACACCTTATCACACCAGTGAGATGTATTAAAACGCTTCACAGAATATACTGTAAATTGGAATCATTGACTGTGTATTTTGTGGGTGAAGTGCAGTAGTCAATTGCTCACAGCAGTGCTCCACCCGTGTTTGACAGGTCTGTGCACGTTCAGCGCAGTAGTTTGTCTGTGAAACCACTGTCGGCTAAGTGCACAGGCAGCGTTTCCACTTTGGCTGGAGAAGCTTCTGGAAGTTTCAGTTTAACTTTGCACCCGACTAACATTTCAATTTTAAGGAAGTACGGACAAGATTTGCTGTTTCTCCTTCAGGAAGGCCATTTGTCCTGGCCAACAAATCCCCTAACTAAAACTGGTCACTCAATCCACGACTGTTTGTGGGACACTGATGTGTACAATTGACTTGTCACATCCCTCCCACAAAATACAGTCAATCTACTTGACAGTACATCTTGTGAAGTTCTTTGAGGTGTCTCAACGATGTGATAAGACGCAATATCAAATGCAAGAATTATTATTAAGACGAGGAATAATAATAGTACCCAGCGGTTGCTGGGGTTTCACCACAGTTGTGGTTTTCTTGCTTCTAGAAATGTCTTTAAAGAAGTGAAATAATGGCCTTCAAGATATGTGGGATCCCCCAGAATATATGCGATTTCAATTGGTATTGGAATATCAATGGGAGGGTGTTTTGAACTAGTACAATGTAATTATTTTATTTTTCTCACACCTGTATTAAACTCTGAACCCATACAATGGAATGTCTCACCTTTTTGCTGCTGAATGCAAACATTTAAATGAAATCAATGTAATTATGTGGTTTTGGGGACAAGGTGTGAGCAAATATCTAATATTGCAACAATTGTTGTAGTGGTACCTTGTTAGAGTTTTAATAATAAATAATAATTGTTGCATTTGATATAGCACCTGATATTGTTTAGACATCTCGTTGTGCTTCACAGGATATACAATAAAGTAAAAATTGAAATATTTAGTAGTTCATCAATATTTGTGTATCTTTCTTTTTAAGCAGAACAAGCACTGCCTTGACAGAGCCAGGAATACATCCTCCCTTAATACTGCATTAATAATCTGTATAGTATTATCCCAATGTGTGAATCTTCATTGTCAGGTGTGAGGTTTTATAGAAAAAAGAAAAGAAGCTTGAGGTTGGAGTTCTATGTAAATGCTGGCACTGTTTATGTTGTGCTTTTGTAGTGTCATGCTATTAAAACTTTAAAAATATTCCTCATTAATTTCTTCTGATTCCTTAAAAAATTGGTTGAGGGAGATACAGAAACCTGCCAGAAAGGACGTGTGGATTTCACTACAAGTTTAAGTGGAGTTTCAGTTTAAGCATATGTAATGCAGATGTTTTTTTCCCCCTCATTACATAGCTGTAAATCATAACAGTGTGACATTTTTGTATTCCCTCTCCTTAATCCGTGAAAAGTCCCTGACAATGGAGTTATAGATTTCTTTATACATTTGCCCTGGTGAGAATATTTGAGCTTGAACTCTGGTAAAGTGCTGGTAGAAGTGATTGGGTTGAGCTTTTTGAAGTAATGAGTTGGATATTGTATAAAATATTGGCAGCACATTAACAACAACAACAAAAATACATTTGCCTTTCACATGGACGCTGGCAATTAAAGTCATTGACTTGTGTAATTTAATTATTGAACTCATTTCTAAATCTGTTAATGGTTTGTTCAGGTGTCTCTGGTTAGAATTATTTTCAAATGCAATTTTGTTTATTTGCAATTCTCTACTATGTAGCGATTTTCACAGGTTTTTCCATAATTAACTAAAATATTGATGTCAGCGCTTGATTATTTTGTTGGATGTAATTGTTTGAAGATTCAGTGCAATATAATCAGTTGCGCAGGACTACCTAAGCACATTGTGCAAGTGGTTGATAGTCCTTGTGGAAAGCAATAGAATATACACTCTTCCACTGTTTCTGAAGCAACACCGAACCTATGCCGTTGGCAGTACAATGAGCTGAGCACATTTGTTGGAGTCTTCTATGGTTTTCCTAGACCTGCACTACAATCAGATTAATGCTCTGGTCTGCAAAAGGTCACCTTTTCATCTTGTGAACTGTATTATAATCATAATAATAATCCTTGCATTTGATATAGTGCCTTATCACATCATTGAAAGTCTCAAAGTGCTTCACAGAATATACTATAAAGTGAATTGACTATATTTTGTGGGCAAAATGTGGCCTCCAACTGCGCAATTAGTGTATCACAAATAGTGATAGATTGAGTGTATTTTGAGGTGTGTAGAGTAAGGAAACTTGCCTAACATTTCTCCCTGCCCGGGAATCAAACCCAGGTCCTCTCGCTTGTGAGAAGAGTGCTCTAACTACAAGACTCCACTTATCTATAATGGAAGAAAAGTCACTAAATATCACTGTGGGGGTAAGAAACAAAGAAAAAAAATTAGAGAGAGAGTTCCTGTAGTGTATCAATTTACTCAATTTCCCCATATCCAAATGTATGCATTTCTGATCATCTGGAATAATTTGTCTGCCTTTAAGACAAAAATCTTTTTGACAATTGACTTGAAGACTGGAGTGTCTGTAGCACAGACTGCAGTCACCAGGGGATGTTTGATCCAAGCTAGAGTTTGACAAATCAGTTCTGCTGCAGTACTTGATGCTGCCGCAAGAGCTCAGCATATGCTTTGTTAATAGCAACTACAGAGTCTTGTGAGTTTTCAGTTTGTTTCTGCATTTCACTCAGGCATTGAAAACATCTTCTGCAGATTGTTGTGCATTCTTAAAACATATTGGGTGTCATTGCAAAGTTTAGGATTTGGCGAGGAGGGCACGTGCTAACATTTTGGTTTGGCGTAAAAGCGGCTGAACTATAAGCTCTCACACTTGTCCCAAGTGGGACGTGACTAACAATATTTAGTGTAAATGTTTCATAGATTTTCATTGCAACTGCATCATCCAACCTACACAATTTACTGTTGCCTTTTACATGTACTTTCACTGTACCACCTTATTTATGTGGAATCTGAGAACTGTGAAGACGTAAAAAGTGCTGTGTAAATACAATTTCTTTTTATTTATTTGGATGAGCTAATGTGGGAATGTATATAGTGCTCTTGTGCTCAAATATTGTGCTCTGCTGTAACAGTAAGCTGCCGTATAACAACCTTTTCAAAATGTCTCCCATAAATTAAACTGCCGCTAGAATGTCTATTTTCCAAATAAACACCAATAAAATGAACAGCATACAAGTGAATGAGTTTTCAACATTCACTCACAAATACAGTAACCAGTGTATGTATGGCTGCACAATGGAAAAGTGGCCAAACGCTATGTTAGACTTAAAACTGTAAGTGTGTTCATACCCCATCAGATGTGATGTAGTCATTTAGTACAGTGAGCTACTAGCCATCTTACTGCAACGTTTCCTTTTGGCTGAGACGATCATTAACAGCTATACAACATAATTTATATCTAATAATTTGGTCACTCAATCCATGACGGTTAGTGGGACGCTGCTGTGCGCATTTGGCTGCCGGGTTTCGCTCACAAAATACATTCCCTCCGCTTTACAGTATATTCTGTGAAGCGCTTTGAGATGTCTCAAGGACGTGATAAGGCACTATATCAAATGTGAGGATTATTATTATTAATTTGTACATTTGAAAGGATCCTGTAGAGGAACTCATACACTAATATACTGTGGATCCTGATCCCTCAGAAAGTCTAAAGATTCAGGAATTAATATCTTTGAATGAATCTGCAGAAAAGTAAATGTATTGTAATTAAACATATGGCATATTTTAATAGTTGTGAATGCCATTGATAATTTGGTTTGTTAGTATAACTAAAGGGAAAAGGTACATGAGATGTCATGTCACATGTGTATCGCTGACTGGCATTTTATTTTTAATCTTTTCTAGGAAACTGTTCGCTTGATGCAAGAACCAGTGCCAGGGATTCAGGCACGGCCAGACGAGAATAATGCTCGTTACTTTCATGTTGTTATTGCCGGTCCCCAGGACTCCCCTTTTGAAGGCGGGAATTTTTAAACTTGAACTATTTCTGCCAGAAGAATATCCCATGGCAGCTCCTAAAGTACGCTTCATGACCAAAATCTATCATCCAAATGTAGACAAGCTGGGCAGAATCTGTTTAGACATTTTGAAAGGTACATTTGTTTTCCAGCCTCTTTGCCCCCACCCTCTGGAGCTCCATCCACTGTCCCTTTGCCCCACTTCCTGTCTCGCCTCCTTCAAAGCCCGTCTCAAGAACCTCCTCTTTGACCGCGCCTTCGGCCACCCTCCTACCCCCACCTTCCCCCCTCCTGATCCCAACCCCCAGCTCAGGTCCAAATCCCTGACTGTCTAGCGCCTTGGGATATCCTCCCGCTGTGAATGGTGCCGTGTAAATGTTATTTTGTTGTTAATGTTTTTAAATTTCTGCATTTTATAGTTTGACGCTCAGTTCTGTATAAACCAATGTAATTATTAACTTGGTAACGTTTTGATTCACTCCACAGATAAATGGTCTCCAGCTTTGCAAATTCGGACAGTGCTGCTATCAATCCAGGCATTATTAAGTGCCCCAAATCCTGATGATCCATTAGCAAATGATGTAGCTGAACAGTGGAAGAGCAATGAGGCCAAAGCCATAGAAACTGGTAAAGTCTGAGGATTTTCTGTTGCTTTTTGCTGATCAGGGTGAGGTGGGGAATCTTTTGGCTACTGAGGGCCGGATGCCTTTTTTGAGACATCTCGAAGACATCAAATTCAAGGATTGTTATTATTTATTATTATACCCTAGTTGAGAAACGTCTGCAGGCCGCACAAGCAATATTGTTGTGTTTCCCTTCCAGAAACATGACATTTCCGGGTTATGGAGAGAGTGGGTGGGCCGGATAAAATGGGGGGGGGGGGGGGGGGGCAAAACCAGCTAGTGGGACCACCCTTAGTTAAAGGACGTGACAATTCTAGGGGAGGAGTGTTTATTCTTGGATTTGGGAGGTGTAATTTGCTTCCACCACGTACATACTCCAGGCCTTATCCTAGGCTGTTGAGCACAATCACAAGGACCAAAACACTTTGATTAAATTTTCCACAGTCGTGAAGCTAAATCACACTAATGGTCACTCCCGCCACCCCATCCCTTGCTCAGCATCTGACCTCATTGTTGTCCCTGGACGGGATTTGGGTAGAGACAAAATATAAGTAATAATAACAGCAGAAGCTGGGATTGCAGACTTTTAGTCACAGCAGAGCATCACAATGCCAGCAGACACAGAAAATAATTTAATGTCCTCCATCGCCTCCTGCAAGGCATGACTCAAGAACCTCCTCTTCAACCACACCATCGGTCACCCTCCTACCCCCACCCTCCCTGCCCTCCACCCCTCCTGATCCCAACCCGCAGCTCAGGTCCCAATCCCTGACTGTCCAGTGCCTTTGGACGTCCTCACAACGTGAAAGGCGCCGTGTAAATGTCATTTTGTTTGTATTGTAATATGCAAATATGCCACCCTTCGACATTTAATAATAATAATCCTTGCATTTGGCGTAGGCCTTATCCTGTCGTTGAGACGTCCCAAAACAATAAGAATATATCTGAATCTGAATTTTACCCCCCCAGAAAAATTGATCGTTCACCTCATTCACGGCTGTTTGTGGGACAATGTTATATACAAATTGGCTGCAGTATTTACCCACAAAATAGAACATTTCAACAAGGTGAAGAGTTTCTTTATCAAGCGCAAGGATTATAGTCATCTTTAGGTTGCCACCTAGTGGCTTTCTATATGCTTGGGAGGTTCGCCTGAATCTAAATGAACTATCGCCCCATGAAGATAACATAGCGCTTTGAGACGTCGTGAAGACGTTCCTAAGAGGTTGTATCAAATGCGAGGATCATTATTATTTGATGCAGCGCCTCATCACTTTGTTGAGACGTCTCAAAGCGCTTCACAGAATATACTGTAAAGTGAATTGACTGTATTTTGTGGGTGACACGCGACAGCACACACAATAGTCAATTCACTTTGTGAAACGTTTTCAGATGTCTCTCCTGTGAGATACGGCGATGTACAGTGTAAAATTTACTGTAAAGTGAATTGACTACATTTTGTGGGTGAAACACAGCAGCCAATTGCTCGCAGCAGCGTCCCACAAACAGTCGTGGATTGAAGTGACCAAATTATTATTTTAACACCAAACCTGAAAAAATCACGTGAAGCAGGTTATAGAATCCCCAGATCCCCGGGGTTGTAAATGCAACATTGAAAAATATTCCTAAATCTGCATTAATATTAAACATTTAAACCACTTTTTGCATTTTTTGGAGTCCTGTAGTTCAGTGGTTAGAGCACTCACCTCACAAGTGAGAGACCCGTGTTCGATTCCCGGCAGGGGAAACCTTGGGCAAGTTTCCTTACTCCAAACGCCTGATAATAATCCCTCAAGAAAAAAAATAGT